ACGTTGGTCGATCTGTTCCATATTCGGCATAGTACAAAACATGGACTGGACCCATGGACTGGATCCAAAATTGGTCCCAAAATTGGACTCAAAATTGGACCCAAACTTGGACTCAAAATTTTAAGCAAAATTTTGCCCAAAAATCCATTATTTTATCGGAGAGAAACAACCCTCAGAATATTGTGCTATGATTTAATTTGTATACCGTATTTACTCGTTTGAGCGCTGCGGCGCTCTTTAAATTTTCAGAGCTTCAGATGCGGCGCTCATTCGGGGGCGGCGCTCAATCGGGGGCGGCGCTTTTAAAAAATATTTTATTTGTGAGTTATAAGAAGAACTTTTAACAATAAAATAAACAAGCTTTAAATGTCTTTGTCACTAAATTTTCCCATTTTGACGGGCGGAAAGTTTTTACACTGTTTGGCGCGGCGCTCATTCGGGGGCGGCGCTCTTTAAAAAAATTTGATCTCAAATGCGGCGCTCATTCGGGGGCGGCGCTCAATCGGGGGCGGCGCTCAAACGAGTAAATACGGTAGGCAAAAAACTTCACGTTCCATCACTTTTCCTTGACCTATCTAATATCTAGCTATTTGTCTTCCAAAATTCTATATTCTATTTTCTAAACGTTATCTAGGGTATCTCGTAAATAATAAACCTTTGTGAAATATCTTTGCGCAATGGTCACAAATACATCACATCGATATAAATCATCCATCAATATACACATCAATATATAGTTATTTTAATTATATACATTTTGTGTCTGTATAATACGCCCTCTATATATTCCGGCATATATATCCTCTAATGAGTAACGAGTTCGCAAAGTTTGTTTTGTCCATATATTCTAATATTTATTGCAACTAGCTATATGTGGGCTTATCATTATGCATATAACAAATCCTATCTCTGATGATGGTTCTGAAATAGAATTGAAACACTGCGCGTCCTCTAAGACAAGCGTTAAGTCGTCACGAAAATATTTCGTGCACTTGGATAAGACTCGCTACCATTACCGATCCCTGTTGACTCGATAGCTCAATAGGTAGAGCGGCGGTCTAGATACCCGAAGATGCGAGTTCAAATCCCGCTCGAGCCAACGAATTTTTCGTTGGTCGATTGCAGTGCCAGATTAAATATGAAACTAGTTTTTCGTATCTCTGAGGATGGTTCTGAAATACACTATGTGCATAAGGCCAAATAAAAAAAAATACTTGGTTAGCGTCACCGCCCGCCTCTCGATTTTCTGCCGCCTCTGAATTTTTTTTTTTTTTTTATGTAAATCTCTTCGTTTTACAGCTTAAAACAGTTTAATATTTCAAATTTTTCTCATGCTCAGACCTTCGCGCTATATACTGATCGATAGGAGCGCGTAGGCTTGGGTATACAAGGTTCTTAAAGCAAAATGGCGGCCTTCGCAACATCAGTACAAAAAATATCACCGATATGGTGGAAAAACCGCCCCCATCCCCTCCAAAAATACTATTACAAAATTAAAAAACGAGTAAAAATTAAAAAAAAAATCCGCCCGCCCGCCTCTGAAAATTTGTGAGAGTGTGACGCTAACCAAGTATTTTTTTTTATTTGGCCTAATGATAAGCCCACATATAGCTAGTTGCAATAAATATTAGAATATATGGACAAAACAAACTTTGCGAACTCGTTACTTGTTAGCTAGGATATATATGCCGGAATATATAGAGGGCGTATTATAAGACACAAAATGTATATAATTAAAATAACTATATATTGATGTGTATATTGATGGAATGATTTATATCGATGTGATGTATTTGTGACCATTGCGCAAAGATATTTCACAAAGGTTTATTATTTACGAGATACCCTAGATAACGTTTAGAAAATAGAATATAGAATTTTGGAAGACAAATAGCTAGATATTAGATAGGTCAAGGAAAAGTGATGGAACGTGAAGTTTTTTGCCTATACAAATTAAATCATAGCACGATATTCTGAGGGTTGTTTCTCTCCGATAAAATAATGGATTTTTGGGCAAAATTTTGGTTAAAATTTTGAGTCCAATTTTGGGTCCAATTTTGAGTCCAATTTTGAGTCCAATTTTGGGTCCAATTTTGGGTCCAGTCCATGGGTCCAGTCCATGTTTTGTACTATGCCTCCATATTCAGTTGTTAATATGGCACGATATATGTCTACAACTACGTCATCTGACATTTAGACGGACTGACGGAGAATTCTCCGGCTATGCACAAGAAAATTATGTTTTTACAATTAAGCCAAACAACTTCTTTAGAACGAGCTGATGATTGTATTTGTGTGAATATGAGTTTTTGCTAAGAAAATATTGTTGTGTGTTTGTAGACATCTAATCATCTAATATCAATTTCCGTTTGTTATCAGCATGCGGGCCACATCCCTTATTTGTTGATTTCCTTATTTGTTGATTTCTCATACCATTCGCAACTTACATATTTTGAGGAGGCAGCTGGATGACATCCTTTTCGGCAGCTTTATGCCGCTCTCTTATCGCAGGTGAAGTCACCTTGTTGTGCCATATTTTCCGTTTCTTTAAAGGAAATGCCGCTAGCGCTCAGAAGCGACATTTGATCTTGGTACCAATTTCTAAAGCAACCCACTCGACTATACAAGCAAACTTGCATATATATTGTACCCCACACAGTGTGTTTGTTGTTTTTGGCAAATATCACAGTGTATACCTAGTATAGTATAGAAAATTATAGACAGGTATAAAAGTAGGACCGGATCACTAGTCGGAATGGACCCGGATCCGACCCTAACCGCCAACCCTAGCTAACTCGGAACCAACCCAGGTGCGACCTTTATACCTGCACGGGGTTAAGCTGGTCGGGTCCTGACCGACTAGCGATCCGGTCCTACTTTTATACCTGCCTGGAAATTATAGTACAACAGCTCTTTCTTCTGAGCATTTTTATATATACAACGTCATGAGAGGCTATATATCTTGTGAAAATACCATTGCGAATCATATCAAACTCTTTAGTAACAAAAGGTCAATCGTGTTACAGCCAGATCCTGAAGTCATTAAGTCGAAGCATAAAAACGAAATTTCAATATAATTTTATTGGACAACCACTAGAGGTTTCATGTCCCTGAAGGCCATTCTATCTCGATTTTTCGTAGAATCGTGCTCGAGCTAGAGTCAATGACGTAGGCTAGGCAATTCTCGTGAGTATTTTCTATGTTATTGTTAGTGATAAACTTGCAATTCCAAAGACCGATTCTAAGATGCGATGAATCTCGCTCAAAATAGCATTACAAGATCTCCGTGAGTCAAATTTTGATATTCCACAGGTAACTAAATCATATTTTTAACGTACGAAGTTTTGCTGTGCAATTTTGAGCCAAATTATACAGCAGCACGGTTGGGGGCATGCATATGCTACTCGGCTTCAATGTTTGTCACCCCTTACACTACAGAATGAAAATAGATTGGTTAAAATTTTAGAATGCTATACAACGACTTCATCCAGGGACGTAGCAAGGCATCTGAAGTTGGAAGTGTCGGAGGATTTTACCTGAAATTTGAACTTCAATATTAAAATTTACCTGAAGTGATTTTTCTGATTGATTTCAATTATCATACTAAGCGTCCGAAGAACAGGACTGCATTTCTGGCATTTTCTAAAGCAAATTCGCAAACGAATTTACAAATAACTTACATGAAGTTTCCTGAATAAAAGTGAGCGCGCGCGGTGTGATGGGAAGATTGAAATGAAGTTGGGGAGGCTCTGCCAGATAATGCGACGAAGTATGGTTTTTGAACCAAACTAGTTGTTTGACCTTTTTTAAACTTGAAATCGACGGAAATGTGAAAGAAATTGAAATGAATCTTCATAATCTGAGTATCGAAGTTCAATAGAGTCATTATTGCAATTAAGCAATAGAGTCATTATTGCAATTGCATTATTGCATTATTCAATAGAGTCATGTTGCAATTAAGAGGATATTTATAATTAGATAGCTCGTATCCATTGATATTCGTTTGCAATTTCTCAATATTTTTCGATGCAAATGGACAGAAGAAGATATTGATATTGAATTCACCCCAGGATACTCAAGTACGCCTGAAAATGAAAGTCGAAAACATGTTTTAACACCCCCGATCGGCGATGGCTGATCGAACTTCGCTACAAACGATTATATACGACGCCATATTGATTGCATTAACTCGCAGAGGCTCCCTTTATTTAGCTCTTCCCATCACTCCTTGCGCGCTCACTTTTCCCTCACTAGAAACTTCATGTAAGCCTCTGCGGAGGAGAGAGCTCTATTTTACAAAAATGGCCGTCATTTCACAAAAATAACGACTTTATTACGCAAATTTTACCTGAAAATGTCAAAATTCAAACTTGAATTTTACCTGATTTTTACCTGAGTTTCAAAGTTGGGGGGATTTACCCCCCCCCCCCCACCCCCGTCGCTACGTCCCTTACTTCATCAAAGGGTTGGATTCAGTAAATCATGCATTTGCAACTCGAAATTATTTGGTTTACATGGTTATGACGCCATCAAATTGTCCGTATTGTGGCCACATCACTCATATTATCTTTAAAATCCAACAATCTACATGCGAAGATGATACTGACGAGACCAATATCGCTAACTCTATGCCTTTTGTGAGTTTTGAAAGCACTTGAGGACTGTTTGGTGACGTGGTGACTAATCGAGGATATTAATGAAGATCAAATCGATTCCAACCAGTTTGGATGTCTAATGTGTATACGCACCAGCTTCCTAGACTTCTCGAAAGCTTTCGATTGTATCGGTCACCATATATTAATAACTTGGACTATTAGCTTCTTCTCAGGTCGACTAGACAGCAAGATAAATACAACAAGTCAATTTCGGATGGACTTCAGTCCCATTAAGCAGGAGTTCCTCAGGGAACAAAACTTCGCTCAATTTTGTTCCTAATAGTGGTTATAGTGCTGGATCAATAACGTACACCTGCCTCTCCTGACACTAGAATGTGGAAATATATGTTGATGACGTTTCAACCTCGACTACTCAATCGAACCTCGATCATTTCGGTCTATGAATGGGCTTCTAACAACTGGATGAAATTCAACGTCAAGAAATGTAAAGAACTCCGGATCTGTTTCCTTAGAGATATCCCCAACTACTATATTTAACAATTGACGGACATGTATTAGAATCTGTTCGTTACTTCGTTCCCACAAAGTCTAAGGACTGATTATCCAGAACTACTTAAAATTGGGCGAACACATCTCCTCAATAAAAACTTTTAAAAGCATCCGGTCCAAGTGATTACACATTCTTCGAGTGTTACACAGAAGTGGAATTGACCTAATCAGTACCTGCTGATGACCTAATTACAATCTACATTACCTTAATTCGATCAGTTCTAGAATACTAGTGTTGTGAGGTTTGGCATAATTCCACCCCTAACTACTTGTCAAATCACTGTGGTCGGAACGAATTCAAAGAAGAGCAATCCTTATTATCTTCCCTCGACGACCATATATAGAAGGCCTCCACTTGGCTGGATGTCCAAAGTTGAATGAAAGTTAAGACGTGTGCCCAAAACATAAGCATCAGCCCACGACTACTTCATTAGACGTTGGAACAATTGGACAAAAAACTGAGCGCAGAACGGAGCGTTTTATGAATAGTTTTCCCCCGAAAACAATCTCTATTAGATAATGCAAGGAACGTTAATTAACTGATATTCCTTTTATATCAGATTTTATTGTAATACTTACTATAGTCTTTCATATGTAGTCTTTAACTTTTACAATAGTTTTAGATTTAGGATTGTAGTTTTCTTTATCATATGTTAATAAGTTCTCTTCCTATCAGGGGCGAAATGTAGATATGTACATGTGCATGCAATGGAACGTTTCCGTCTATAGATTCACCCATTTAGTGAGGAATCAGAAATCAAACTTCGTTACTCTTGGCATATAGATCCAGCTAAGGGGCGGACCATTAGAAATCCCGGGAGGGGGGGTATAAAATTTTTGCGGCACGAATTTTTTTTTCAGTCTCATGTCTCTGCAGGAATTTTTTTTAATGCATTTAACCTCTGCACGAATTTTTTTTCAAGACTACTTGTACTTTGCTGTTTGCTTGCACGAATTTTTTTTCTCTGACGTAATGGCTGCACGAATTTTTTTTCCAGGCATTTTTCTTTGCACGAATTTTTTTTTGGGAATTTTCACCCCCCCTCCCGGGATTTCTAATGGTCCGCCCGTAACTTAAGGAAAACAGCGTTTGCATCATGCCATCAATCTGTAATTGTGGATTAAATGGTTTACTGAAAGATCACAATGTACCTCCACCATTGTAGACCCACAGCTTTGTTATCATAACAAATACTTACCTAATGGAATTGCATTCTGGCCACTCAGTATCCTGAAGGTCCAATGGCAATGCATAAAAGAAATTATTGATCTAGACAAGTCTAGACAAACATTTCACCACAGCTTCAAAGAGCATCACAAAATTAGTAATATTACGAAGTTTCGTTGCGAAATGTTGTAAAATGCGGACTATAGCCTTGCGAAGTTTGCCGTTTTTCAGTCATTTTGTATTACGCAGGGGAAATTGATACCTTTTTTCAGAAAGCGGTATCAATTTCCCGTGCGTAATACAAAATGACTGAAAAACGGCAAACTTCGCAGGGCTATATTATCCGCATTTTACAACATTTTGCAACGAAACTTCGGAATATTTCTAATTTTGTGATGGCTCTTTCAAGCTGTGGTGAAATGTTTGTCATAGACTTGTCTAGATCAAAATTTTGTTCATTAGGGAATAGGTCCATTAAATAACTTTTTTTGCGAAGAATTCAATACGTTTGCTGCATTTCTGGTCAAAAACCGCCAGTGCGTATAATGCATATAATATCCCTAAATGCATATAATTTTATATCTGTGACGCTTAACATCACAATTTCCTTTCACACATCTGTTCAAGTACGTACAAAAATATAGTCGTTTTTATTAACACTTTCATCCGCATACATGGACATGGTGACACAGAACCAGGTATATTAGTTTATACGTTTGGGGGGCGGGGGTTGCACTTTTTTCCACAATTTAACACTAATTTTCACAATGAAGCCGGAATAGGTTCCGATGCCTAAAACGTTCTGCCCATATAGTGATGCCATTTGAGGTGGCTCGCTACAATTTCCTATTTGATCATAATGTTATGCAAAAGTGCGCATGATAAATTATTATAATATTATTATTATATTTAAGAACTGAAAAACAAAGAAAAGCTTACTTGTATAGCTATAGCCTATAAGTATAAGAAAAGTAACTACAGGGTATGAAACTTTTCAAACTTCTGTATGAAAAACACTATTGTTTTTTTTAATAATGAAAAATTGAGATTGACTTCAGTACACGATGGCATAAGAATATGAAGTATCCAAATAACAAATTTCATACTCTTAAGCCCCGTTTACACTACACTCAATTTTTGGTACGGCACGGATAAAATTGGTACCCGTACCACTTTTTTGGTTCTTGAACTACCTATTTAGGTAGTCCAAGAACCAAAAAGTGGTACGGTACCAAAAATTGAGCGTAGTGTAAACGGGGCTTAGCTAAATTGGTATTCCAAGAACCAAAAAAGTGGTACGGGTACCAATTTTATCCGTGCCGTACCAAAAATTGAGCGTAGTGTAAACGGGGCTTAAGTGACTTTCAAACAAGACATAAAGAATAAAATTTGTAATAATGTTTATATAATTTATATTTATGATTCTAATACATACCGTTATATTATTCATCATACCCTCTTCAAGCTATGAGCAGACGTGCATGCAACCCTCGTAATTCAACTATTTTCCCCTCAGCAAATAATTGCAGTTTCGAGTTTGCCTGGGCAATTTTTTTGCCGAGGCGCACAATGAAATCTCCTTTAAAGGAATTTAAAATTCCTTCGGCAATTACTTCGGCACCCCCCGGCCGATTCACGTCAGCAATTGTAATTAAAGTAAAGTACATTACGGAAGTGATTATAAACGAATATTATAACGAGCGTAGATTCCGGTGCTTGAAATATTTTTGACAATTTGTTGTTATTTTACAAATTGAACAAATTCCTGATTTAAAATGTTTTAAAAACATAGTGGTAATTAAGCTAATTGTTTGGGGGGGGGGCTGAAACTGACTTAAGTCATGTCTTGAAGGGAACTGGAACCGCTGACGCTGCTGACGACTTTTTACTGCTAAATGACTAAGTATATTGCCGTTGTTGCAGTTAAAAAGATATTAAATTCACTGTTTATGCCAACCAATCAAATAGCAGTGGTGTTTCTTAGCGCAAGATTAAACACGAACAACGACGTTTTTAGCCGGGTTGTTGTGCTCTTTATTTACTGAATATTAGTTCGAAAATAGACAAGTCAATTTTATAATAACCAACTTATAAGACAAGCATTTGATTTTTTGGTGAAATGAATTATTTTCAATTGATCTAGGGACCTCTTCCAAAGAAAAGATCATCTAGAGGCAAGTAATTTTAATTGCTGTGTTTATGCAATAGAAAACGTGTGATGAATGAAGGGCAATTACGGATATTAAATTCTCCTTCATTGACATATCAAGATAGCCAGTCTCTCATGCACGCATTTCCAAGCAGGTGGAATTCATAAAAATGTGCGAAGTTTATTTTCTGGATTCTACATTCAAGAAATTGCTGTAGCTATTAACTGTTTTATTTTCTATAGATATCTCCCGAAGTAATGCAGCAAGAGATTCAATCCCAACAATCACATTCGGATCAGGATTTGATTCAGAACCAACTACATCAACATCGGGTTCATTCCAAGCAACTGCAAGCCAGACACCTACTTTAACCCGCCAAGCTGTACAACTAAGTGAAAATAATTCGCTGGGCAGCACAGTCGAAGTTATCTTGAAATCTGATACCTCTCAAAGTACTCGCCCACCATCCCACTCAACGCAAGCACCTATATTTGGTTCAGAACTTGGTGATGATATTAATGCAACCCCTGCACCACTTGATGCAGTCCAGACTACTGATGCAGCATCAGATGCGGTACAAAGCACTGATGCTCCAACTGATGCCATTAAAACTAAAGCAACTAGTGCATCAACAGATGTATCAACTGCTGCACCACCTGATGCACCAACTGATGGTCCTACTCACCTACAAACAAATGTAGCAACTGATGCAGCAAACGATGGACCAACTGACGCACCAACTGATGCCGTTCAAACCACTAATGCACCAACTAATGCAGTCCAAACGACCGAAGCACCAACTAATGTTGTACAAAATACTGATATGCCAACTGATATCGTACAAAGTACTAATGTAACAACTGACGCAGTCCAAACGACTGATGCAGTCCAAACTACTAATGTACCAACTGATGCAGTCCAAACTACACATGTAACAACTGATGCAGTTCAAACTACAGATGTATTAACTGATGCCGTCCTGAGTACTGATGTACCTACTGATGTGCCAACTAATGTTGTCCAAACTACAGATGCACCAACTGATGCTACCCAAACTACAAATGTACCAACTGATGCTGTCCAAGCTACTGATGCACCAACTGATGCAGTCCAAACTACTGATGGACTAATAACTGATGCAGTCCAAACTACTGATGCACCAACTGATGCTGTCCAAGCTACTGATGCACCAACTGATGCAGTCCAAACTACTGATGGACTAATAACTGATGCAGTCCAAACTACTGATGCACCAACTGATGCTGTCCAAGCTACTGATGCACCAACTGATGCAGTCCAAACTACTGATGGACTAATAACTGATGCAGTCCAAACTACTGATGCACCAACTGATGCTGTCCAAGCTACTGATGCACCAACTGATGCAGTCCAAACTACTGATGGACTAATAACTGATGCAGTCCAAACTACTGATGCACCAACTGATGCTGTCCAAGCTACTGATGCACCAACTGATGCAGTCCAAACTACTGATGGACTAATAACTGATGCAGTCCAAACTACTGATGCACCAACTGATGCTGTCCAAGCTACTGATGCACCAACTGATGCAGTCCAAACTACTGATGGACTAATAACTGATGCAGTCCAAACTACTGATGCACCAACTGATGCTGTCCAAGCTACTGATGCACCAACTGATGCAGTCCAAACTACTGATGGACTAATAACTGATGCAGTCCAAACTAC